TTTCCTTGCTGTTTGAGAGATTTATTTGTATGTTTATTTATAGCTTCCTTTATTCCTCTCAAACGAAATGAGACATAACAAAGTTTCACTGACTGATAAGTTTGACCCTTGAGAATACACAAGGTCTGAGATCCAACCTGATAGGTTTGAGGCACAGATACATAAACAGCTCATTCCATTTGTGGGAACTGACTTGGAAACATTTGCAATTTACCTTCAGCATTCTGGCTGAGGGTGTTAAATCACGGTCTTGTAGCCTGTGTGTTGCCTCACTGAGAACAAATGTGCCTTGACTTAGAGGTCCCAGGTGTCACCACAAACAGTGTGGAGAGTGGGGCCATGATTATATTACTGGGCTCGCCATCCAGATGCCTGCACTTAGAATCCAGTTTGAGAATTGGAACTCATTTTAAATTCACCTTCAGTTCTCCTTTCCAGTCAGCTGCCAATCCCTGGAGGAGGTGCAATGCTTGGATACTCTACCAGAAACAGCCAGGTTGATTGGTGCATACTGGGGACAGGAGAGTTTAATGCTCCATGTTAGATGTTCTGCCTGGAAAGGGATGGGGATGTGAGGACTTGACTCAATGAAAGATACTTTTCATTAGCCTGCTCAGATATGTTATGATAGACTTGTGAAGCAGGTGGTACTTAAACCCAGTTAAAAGGTGAGGATGTTGCTGTTTGACTGGAGCCTCATCTAGGCCAGAACAGGTAAGGATGGCAGTTTCCATCTGTAAAGGGCATTATTGAACCAGATAGGGTTTTATGACAATTGATGATAGTTTTGTGGTCATCACTGAGGCTTTCAATTCCAGATTTTCAAATTGAATTTAACTTTTGCCAGCTGCCATAGTGGGATTTGAACTCAATATTCCCAATATTATGTCTGGATTAACTTTAGATTACCAGTATAGTCACATGAAACATTGTAAAATGACTCATTTACACCTGTCAGAAACGGCAGATAACCATACAAACGGATTGTTCTCTGCAAACAAAACATGTTTAAGCCCTGGGCTTTTTGTTTTATTTATCAGGAAGTATAAAGACTGTATTGTTACTTCGTCCATGGTAACACTTTGACCAATCAGAGTCAACTGCCAACCAATCAGCACCTTTTGTCTTGTAATAGAAATAGTTATGATTTTTTGAAATTGGCATTCTTGAATTAGTTCTGATAAAGACATCTCGGCAACACATCTGTCTTTTCAGCAGTATTGGAGAGTTTGATTAATCAGAGCGATCAGTCTCTATTGGTGTGTCTATAACAAGCCTGGACATGATGTGTAGAAAGCCTTTGGCTGTGGAGAGACATGGAAACCATTTGGTTCCCCCAAACATTCACTGTGACTGAAACTACTAACATACGACACCCCTGAATGCTATTTCTGTCAGAAATCTCTCTAATGATGGCCGCTTGTCCCATTTTAACCTCTTTCAAATCGCGGTCAGAGTCACGCTCAGTTTGCTGAGATTTAGTTAAGTATATCTGTATATTGTGATGGTCATTGACGATGATGCTCCTTTCTCCTTAATGCATGAGGTGTCTTTTCTTTCTCCACCAAATAATTCTGAGCAATTAAGCTTGACTTCTTCATTGCCCCAAAGACTAAAAAGCTCAGTTACACAGGTGTTTGAGAGGCATGAGTGTTCCTGAACAAAAACAGAAGTTGCTGGAAGAGCTCAGCAGGTCTGGTAGCATCTGTGAAGAAAAAAATCAGGGTAAACGTTTCGGGACCGGTGACCCTTCCTCAGTTCGAAACGTTAACTCTGATTTTTTCTTCACAGATGCTGCCAGACCTGCTGACCTTCTCCAGCAATTTCTGTTTATTTTTCCTGGTTTACTGCATCCGCAGTTCTTTCGGTTTTTACGAGAGTTCCTGATCTCAACTGCTGGGACTACTGCAGTTGGCGTCAGTGCCCCAGGATTGTGGTGGATAGGACCCCCCGTGGTCGCATGGGGAGATCAACGAGTTCCTGACTTCCAAAACAGAACCTTCCTGGTTTAAGACTTTGAACCACACTTCACATGAAGTACAATCAGAGCCTCATTTCAATGTGCTGCAACACATAGAAAATGGGAGGCATCACCGATATCATTGTTTTCAGTGCACAGAAGTAAAACTCCCAAAAAAAAGAGAAATAAGGCCATACAAAAGCCTGCAAGTCCAGGTTGGCCCCTTCCCCTGCAGCATTCACTGGTATGAACAGTTCCCTTTGAGCTTTAGGAGCAGGATGTCCTGGAGACTGCAGTTCCACAGATGTAAAAAACATGCACTCAGCCAACACCCAACAGGCATATGCAAAATGCACGTGAACATAACACATGCCCAGAAGTACACACCAGACTTATAACGGTCTAACATACATTCTAGCATCAAACGTGCTTGTAAATACAGAGCCAACACAAACCACACATGCAAACGTAGAGCACACAAAAAGAAAACAGGATACACTATGCAGAATACAGGTTGCCCTAGACTTAGGAACTTCTGATTTATGAATATTTGGCTTACAAATGCTTGTATTTACAACCGAAACCCCATTTTACTATTAATGTTAAGGATCTGATACAACATTCGATTGGACTTACAAACAGATATTATATATTGTATTGTGTTCCAATTTGTGTACAAATGAACGTACTCAGGAATGGAACCTATTTGTAACGTGGGGACTACCTGTAGGCAATTATACACAAGGACAGTACAATATTCCAGCACCTAAAGATGCAGGCACAACATGCACATACAGTCAGCCACAGAAACAGAAGCACTTTTCAATTCATTAAGCAGGCAATTGTTAGGTGTGATGAATGCAAATAGTTTATGTCTATTTATATCTATTCTGCAGTGACAATACATTTGAAGCCAGGTTACAGAAAATGAGCTGCATGTTTGTCAGATCGCTGCAAGCTCGGAGAAAGAGAGATGCTTGTATGAACTGTAGCTTTGCAGGGCGAGTTGCGACAGGCATGAGGAGACACTGATCAAAAAAAGGACTGCAGACTGGTTATTTTAAGTGCTACAAACAGTGCATGGCCATTGAAAGAAAGGGCACCTCTGTCTCACATCCATTCGAGTTACCCTTTTGATTTTTTTTTGTTTGATGTGCTTGCGCCACTTCTTGTTTGCCTAATTATACGTGACCAAGCTTGAGCCTATGAAAACACTCGTGTCTTTAAGCTCTTAACAAGCCCAGCTCTGTGAGGGCCATACAACCCAGCCCTCTGTGCGGCCATGCACTGCTCAACCTGCTTTCTGGGCCACTGTACTGAAATAGCTCAAGATCAGCCGATAACCTGCAAACTCTACACGCAGCTAAAGCTCAAAGAGCTAGCTTCTTGGAACAGAGCAAAAGAACACTTGGTGTGAACTAAATCAGAAGGCACACAACACCAGGTTATAATCCAACAGGTTTATTTAAAATCACAAGCTTTTGTAGGCTTATGATTTTAAACAAACCTATTGGACTATAACCTGGTGTCATGTGACTTCTGACCTTGTGCACCCCAGTCCAACACCAGCCTCTCCACATCATAAAATAAATCAATCAGCAAAGCTCTGGGGCAAGGACTGCAAGTTCCAGCTGTGTTTTGCATTGCCTCTTCCTCTTTCCATGCAAACCCTGCCTCACTTCCCCCACTCCCAATTCCCTTAACCTGATGCTTTCTTACATCCTCCATCCCTGAAGGGAAGATTCTCTCCTGGATCACAGATCAGGAACAGGCTGTGCAATCTAATCCTTGTTCCTATTAGATGTTGGAGGTTGAGTGCAAGTAGGATACCTGATTCCAGAGGAACATCGAAACAGGAGGAGGCCATTCAGCCCCCTGCCTGTTCTGCCTCTCAATCATGGATGACCTGTATCTTACCTCCATCCACCTTATTCTTCAAACCCTCACGCAATAAAGACCTGTCAGACTTAGTTTGGAAGTTTTCAATTGAGTCCCAGACTCAGCAGGTTTTTTGGGGTGGGTGTGGGGAGGGGGTTGGAGGAGAGAAAGTTCTAGACTTCCACAATCCTCTGTGTGCAGAAGTGCTTCCTAACCTCCGCTGAACTACCAAACTCTAAATTTACGATCATGCTTCCTTGTTCCTAACCTCATTGGGAATGAATTCTCTTCCTGTCTCTATCAAATGCTTTATTCAGTGTAAACAAGATAATCAGATCACCCTTAACCCTCTTTATTCAAGGGAATAAAAATGTGTTCTTTTGATGAATGTACACTGCATGCCCTCAGGAATAAATATATCCCCTCTTAAGTGAGGTGCCCATAATAAAATGTGGATCTCTGGATTCAGTTTCCACTTAGGTATGTTCTAAACCTGTCCAGAGATGTTATTATACATCTCTGGAGCAGTGGAGCTCGAACCCAGGCCAAGGTGTGAATTGACAGTTTAGTTAGATAAAGAAACATAGTACCATTGCATAAGATAAGGTGGGGTACAATCCCACATCTGAGAACTTTGCATTCTTAATTCAAATCAATGAAAGTGACCACAAAGCAATTGAATGATTGTTGAAGTGCAAATCTTCCACAACATCACTATGCCTATAAACGATGGAAAGAAATCTGCCATCCTGACCCATTTCCAGCCTAGATATGACTCCAATCTCACATCATCCTCACCCGTCCTTAAAGTAAAACAGAAAATTGCTGAAGAAACTCTGCAGGTCTGGCAACATCTGTAGGGAGAGAAACAGAGTTAATGTCTAAAGTGCAAGATGACCCTTTTTCAGAAGTGGTTGACTCTTAACTACCCTCTGAAGTGGCTCCCCCAAAGATTCTGAGTTGTGTCAAAAGGCCCCGGTTCAAGATGAATCTCACCCTCATCACTACAAAGGGAAAGTGTCAGATGGATAATGGAGAATGTAAGATGTGTATTGCGTGTAAAGGCTGCATGAAATGGCACAAGCTGTCTTGTTGTTGATACTGTTGTGAATCATCGTGTTGTTTCATTTATTCATTTTTGACCTGTTCTCTTTTGTTCCAGTTGGGTCAGTTGGTAAGTTGAAATCTCATCTGCCATTCTCTGCACTTCATGCTGATGGGGAATCCCAGTCTCAGTGTCACACTCATCCAAACCTTCCATCCTTCATCAACCAACCACCAACCGATCCACTTACCTGCTTCTGTTGTCCCTTGGTAACAGTGGGAAACAACGGGAAGTGTTATTATTTATTTAAAAACTGAGAAGGAAGTATGAGTAATGATGTTCAGAGCAAGAAGGTAAAAATATGTCTTACGTCATTGCAAAAAAAAACACATTTCTCCACAGGTTTCGACATGGAATTGGGTAATTGAAGGTTTTCAACAAGACTTTGTAGTTTTGAGTGGGCAGAAGGTTAGCAATTACTCAATTTATATGGAAGGACCTTGAGTGGGATAGATGCCAGATCCTTAAAAGTGAAAACAAATCAAAAATCTTGCATTTATCTGGCATCTACCATGACATTTTACAGCCAATAAATGCTGTTGAAGTGTGATAACTACATTAAGTAATGTGGTCATCAGTTGATAGCAAGTTAAGATAAGTGAGCAGATGATCTATTTTTAGCGATGACGGTTGAAGGATAAATATTGGCCTGGACACAAGGGGAAAACTTTTCTGCCTTTCTTTGAAGTGTTGCCAATGGGATCTGTTGCATCCACCGGAGATGGTTTCAGAATAAAGCCTGATGCAGAATACAGCATATCCCTCAGTATTGCATTGGGGTCCCCAAATGTGTTCTCAGCAAGACCCTGTACAATGAAGCATAAGCTCCCTACTTTTGCAACCAATTCCCCTCACAATAAAAGATGGCTTTTACTAATTTTCCTAATTACTTCCTCTACCTACCGACTAAACATTTGTGAGTCATTCAGTAGGACACCCAGATCCCACTGCGTCTCAGGGCTCTGCAATCTCTCATCATTTAGATAATATGCTTCATTTTTATTCCTCCTACCAAAAATTTCTGACATAATACACCATTTATCAGATGTTTGCTCAGTCACTTAACCTATCTATATCCTTTTATAGCTTCCTTATATCCTCTTCACAACTTATTTTCTTGCTGTCTTTGTGTCATCAGCAAATTTAATAACCATATTTTCGATCCATTCATCCAAGTTGTTTATATAAATTTTAAAGAGCTGAAGCCTAAGCCCCGTTCTTGTGCACTACCTTGTTATACTTTGTCAACCAGAAAATGACCCATTTATGCCAACTCTCTGTTTCCTGTTAGCCAGTCAATCTTGTAACCATGCCAATATGTTACCACTCTTTATTTACCAGAAGCCTTTATTTTCCCAACTAACTTTTGATATGGCTCCTTATCAAATGGTTCTAGAAATCTAAATACAGTGCATCCACTAGTTCCCCTATATTCACAGCATGCATTGCTCAGAGAGTCATAGATTCATAGAGATGTACAGCACGGAAACAGATCTTCGGTCCAACTCGTCCATGCTATCCTAAATTAATCTAATCCCACTTGTCAGCATTTGGCCCATATCTCTCCAAACCCTTCCAATTCATGTACCCATCCAGATGCCTTTTAAATGTTGTAATTGTACCAGCCTCCACCACATACTCTGGCAGCTCATTCCACACACCCACCACCCTCCATGTAAAAAAGTTGCCCCTTAGTTCCCTTTTAAACCTTTCCCCTCTCACGTTAAACCTATGCCCCTCTAGCTTTGGACTCCCCTAGCCTGGGGAAAAGACCTTAACTTTTTAACCCTATCCATGCCCCTCATGATTTTATAAACCTCTATAAGGTCACCCCTTCTGCCTCTGACACTCCAGGGAAAATAGCCCCAGCCTACTCAGCCTCTCCCTAAAGCTTACACTCTCCAACCCCAGCAACATCCTTGTAAATCTTTTCTGATCCCTTTCAAGTTTCACAACATCTTTCCTATAGCAGGGAGACCAGAAACGTATGCACAATTCTAAAAGCGGCCTGACCAATGTCATGTGAAGCAGCAACATGCCCTCCCAACTCCTATACTCGATGCACTGACCAATAAAGGCAAGCATACCAGATGCCTTCTTTACTACGCTGTCTATCTGTGACTCCACCTTCAAGGATTTTGTTCGGCAACACTTATTCAATAAACTCCAATTTATTGGTTACACATGATTCCCCTTTCACAACATCATGTTGACTCTGCCAGATTTCCAATGCCCAGCTGTAACATTCTTTTAGAAAATACCTTCTAACATCTTCCCTTTGACAGACATTAAGCTAACTGGTTGAAGTAGGAATTATAAATTAATCCAGTTTAATTCCTGTGGAGATTTAAAGGTGGTAGGCTTTGTTATGGGCCCTATCATCAGTTTCACTAAATTGAATCCAGTGTTAAAATAAAGTGGCACCAAACACATGAATTTTAAAAAATCAATTAATCACCATTTTTTAATGGCATTTGGAAAAAGTGCAACAAAAAGTTCGGAAATATTTTTCAGCAAGTTGTTGTGATCTGAACCATGCTGCCTGAATGAACAATGAAGGTGGATTCAATAGATTTTTTGAAAGGGGGAATTTTGGATAGATGCATTAAAAGATTAAATTTGTAGCACTGTGGGGAGGGGAATAAAAAGGGAACAAATTGGATATCTCTTTCAAAGAGCTAGCACAGGGACAATGGAGTGAATGGCCTCCTGTTGTACTGTCTGAACCTCTATGGGTAGCAGTTGTGGAAAACCACTTTGATTGTGCCACTTGGTTATAGTGCATTCTCACAGCCACCTGCATTCTGCCAGTCTGGACAACCCATTCAATCAGCACTGAGGTGCTGTATTTTACAGACAGTGTGTTCCCTCCAGGTTAGAGAGCTGGGTGTCAGGTGTGTCTAGTACACACTTGTGTGTTTCTGCATCTACCTGTATGTGTGTGGGCATACGCCAATGTGCATTTATATGTGTGTTTGTGCACGCATGCGTGCTTGTGTGTGTTCACCCATGTGTTTGAGCACATGTGCGCTTGCCTGTGTGCATGTGCACTTTGGTGTGTGTTCACATGTGTGCTTTGTAGGTGTCAGTGCTTATGTGTGTGTCTGTATTTGTACACACTTGTGATTCTGTGTCTGTACGTGCATGCGTGTGTGTGTGCACGCAAGTGAGTGTGTGTATGAAGTATGGAATACAGCAGGAGGCCATTTGACCTATCAAACTTCTGCCAACTCTTTCTGGGAACTGTATACTCAGTACCACTCTGCTCTTTCCACATATCCCTGCAGTTTTGTTTTTCTCCTCTAGGTTTTTATCTAATTCCATTTTGAAGACTGGTGTTGAATCTCGGTCCAGCATATTCCAGGTCTTGAACGTTCATTTGAAAAGCTCTTGCTCACTTTCAACCTGCATCCTTTGGTTATTGAACCTTTGGCTATCAGAAACAGCTTCTCCTGGTTGACCCTCACTGAATCCTACGTGTTTTTAAATGACTTGATCAAATTTCATCTTCTCCTTCTCACCTCTATGGAGAAGAACCTCAGTTCTCCCATTCCCAGTCTATCCACACAGCTGAATGCCCTCAGACCTAGAGCTATTCTTATGAATTGTTTCTGCCCTCTTCCCAAATTCATCAGGCTCTTTCTGAAACGCAGTGGCCATAGAATGTATAGCCAGAAGCAGGCCATTCAGGCCATCTAACCTGCCCTGCTATTCAGTGAGATCGTGGCTGATCTGATAACCCTGAACTCCACTTCCCTGCCTTTTCTTGATAACCCTTGATTCCCTTCCTGATTAAAAATCTGTCAATCTCAGTCTTGAGTATAGTCAATGAGCCAGCCTTGAGACCCTCTGCAGTAAAGAATTCCACAGACTTGCTATCCTCTGAAAAGAAATCCTTCCTCACTTCTGTGTTAAATGTGCAATCCCTCATTCTGAGATTATTCCCTCTGGTCTGAAACTCCAGGGAGTACAGACCTAATCTACTCAACATCTCCTCATAAGACTGTTCCTCTATACCCAGGATCAGTCTGGTGAACCTTCTCCTGAACTGTCTCCAATGTCAGTATATCTTTCCTGAGCTAAGGGGCCCAAACTCTTCATAGTATGGTCTGACTAGTGACGTGTATAGTTTTAGCAAAACCTCCCTACTTTTATACAGCAGTTCCTTTGAAATAAAGGCCAACATTCCATTTGTCTTTGCTATTACACATTGAACTTCAATGCTAGCTTTTTGCGATTCATACACAAAGACTCCCATTGCTCTGTCCTGTGGCACTCTGCTGTCTTTCTCCATTTAAATCATATTGCCAGAGCTTGACCCAACTCTCCAGCTGAGGCAGAACTAGTGATGGTGATGCAATGAAATACGTTCTATTCCTGGCCTAAATTAATAACCTGCAATGCCCACACTGTCAGGAGCCACTGTTCTGTGGAGAGCCTACTGAATCACTATGTCTTTATATCTCCCCTTGATTGAGTTTTTCTTTGACTAAGGTTAGGGTTAGTGAGGGGAAGAGTGATGCTGGGGGCATTGTTGGTGAATTAACTCATTTTTAAAAATGAAACTGGATATTTTAAACTTTTGAGCTTGGAACTAATGGAAAGTAAATTGAAGGTGAGGTAGAATAGACTTAACTGGAAGTTGCAGCATGTTGTCACCTGCAGACAAACTTTCTTAACCATTTCAATCATTCAGATCTAAACAACTGGCCCAATAACTGGGGACAATGATTGTTTAACACAGCAACTTGTTCTGGTCTGGAATTTGTGATTTAATTGTGACCTTTAAAAGGGAATTGGATAAATATTTAAGGATTATCTTGTTCCAGGGCAATGGGGTAGAGGAGGGGAACTGGGATTAATTGGATAGCTCTTTCCAAGAGCTGGCACCATTACAATGGGCCAAGTGGCCTCCTTCTGTGCAGTTCTGCTAAAGAAATGGCCCAGATACTGATGGAACGAATGGCCTCCAGTGCTATAATATTCTGTGATTCTATGTTGTAACTTGTGATGGTTCTTGTGGTAATTCCCCCTCATCTCTCTTTCTCTCTCTCTCTCTCTATGCCCCCACTCCCACCCCCACTTTCCCCTATCACCAGCTCCTCCACAGTTTGTGGTGAAACCGCGGGACCAGATGGTGGCTGTGGGGAGGACAGTCACGTTCCCCTGCGAAGCAACAGGGAGCCCTCAGCCGGCCATCTTCTGGCAGAGAGAGGGAAGCCAGGTGAGGGCACTGAACTGGGCTGTGGGGGGACAGGTGGCATTGCACTGAACCACAACATGGCAACTTGGGTGGATGGCAGAGTGGAGTGCGGAGAGGACAGGCAGAATGGGAGGAGGGGGCTGGACAGAGAGGGGTACACATTGACCCCTTTTCCTGCAGGAGCTGGTTGGTGAGACACATCTACCTGATTTTCAGTGAGGCTTGGAGAACGCTCCCATCACTGGGGAGGCTCCTTGTGCTTGAAATCTGCAGTAAATAAATCTTCCCCAGCAACTGAGGGAAATGCGTACACCTGTGTAACTCATGTGTGAATATGCATGTGTGTGTACCTCATGTATAACTGCTTACACATGTTCTGTTGTGTGTGAATGCACATGCATGTACCTCATGTAAACAGGTGTGTGATTCTGTGCCTGGATTTTTTTTTTCATGTTTACTGTTTGGGCATATACTTCAACAAGTGTCTTCATCAAAGAACTACGCGGGGAGAATTTTGTCTTTGTCAGAACCAGATCATTGGGAAGAGTATGGGAAATTCCAATCGGGATTGCGTGCGTTAAACATGCTCTGTCTTGACGCTGACCCCGACCACAGTGTAACTTTCCTCCTTTCTTTCTCCTTTCAGAATCTGCTGTTTTCCTACCAGCCTCCGGAACCTTCCAGCAGATTCTCGGTGTCTCAGGTCGGAGACCTCACCATTACCAACGTTCAGAGGTCTGATGTTGGTTACTATAGCTGCCAGGCACTCAATGTGGCTGGGAGTGTCATCATCAAAGTCTTCCTGGAGGTGACTGATGGTAAGCTACCAGTGATTTGTCCATGGGGAGTCAATTCAGTTCTTGAGTCTCTCACTGAACACTGCTGACAACACATTCCTGGGCTCGCAGAGTGGGCAGTGACCATGCTGAAACAGTACTAAGGCTCTTGCATCTGTAGCAGCTTTCAACCAGATCACAGGAGCTCAGTATCTTCAGTCCACCTCGTCCACATCTTGCAATACTGTGAAATTGTTGGAACTGGAATGGTTTTCTGATTGGGTGAGAGGCAGGAAAATAGGGTGGAGGCTCATGGCATAAACACTAGCATAGCATTTTTTTTGCAATTAATTTGTGCCATTAACTGGGGCAGATGATGGCCTAGTGGTATTATCATGAGTGATCCAGAATACCAAGCTAATACTCTGGGCTATGGGTTCAAATGCTGTCAGGAAGATTGTGAAATCTGAATTCAATAAAAATCTGGGGCAATCTGATCACCATGTAATCATTATCAGGAAAAACCCATCTGGTTCACTAATGTCCTTCAGGGAAGGAAATATGCCATCCTTACCTGGTCTGGCCTACATGTGACTCCAGACCCACAACAATGTGGTTGACTCTTAACAGCCCCCTGGGCATTTCGGGATGGGGCAATAAATGCAAATCTAGCCAGCGATGCCCACATGCCGTGAACGAATGAAAAACAGTTCTGTGTAGTAGCCAGCTGTTTGTGCCTGCTCTCAGTCCCCTTCCGACCTGCCTGTTCACCCTCACTGAGGTAGAAGCTGGGTAGATCACAGTTCACCTATCAGCTCAGCATGTAGTAGGCACAGGTCTGACAGAGAGGATAGTCGATTTGAATCCCTCACCAGGGACCTGGGTCAACCTACAGCAGTGGTTCAAGAAGGCAGCTCACCACCACCTTTTCAAGGAGAAACTAGGAATGGGCAATAATTACTGGCCCAGCCAGTGAAATCCACATCCCATGAGTAAATAAAGAAAATCCTGTGGTGAAGGAGTGCTATACTGTCGGAAATATTGTCCTTCAGCACAGAAGGTAAACCGAGGACATTGCCGGTTCTGTCTGGTGAGCTGTAAACACTGCAACACCATTTCTGAAGAAGGGTCCAGACCCAAACGTCAGCCTTCCTGCTCCTCTGATGCTGCTTGGCCTGCTGTGTTCATCCAGCTCCACACCTTGTCATCTCAACACTATTGAAAAGGAGAGTTATCCCAGACCAGCATTTATCCCTCAATCAACGTTGTTAGGAAATGTGATCGAGATAATCTGCTTGTTATGTTTATACGAGGATATAATCTCACAATAAAGGGTCGCACATTTAAGTCAGATGAGGAGGAATTTCTTCTCTCAGACGGTTGTGAGCCTGTGGAAGTCTTTGCTGCAGAGACCTGTCAAGGCTGTGTCATTAAATATATGCCATGCTGAGGTAGACAAATTTTTAATTAGTAAGGGAATCAAGGGTTATGGGAAAAAGGCTGGAAAGTGGAGTTGAGGATTATCAGATCCTCAGGGACAGGGCATCCATCAACACTGAAATCCCAGCTCCTGTTTCTTTCCTGATGTATCACCAGTCTGGGTGAAAAGGTGGGCTCAGAACTCTTGTAACCTGGCCGAATATAATGTTGGAGGTGGGATGAGGGCCTTTAATGCCACTTAATTGCCATTAAGAGCCTCAAAAAGCCTGAAGGTAGACTGACTAGCTGGTGCCTGTCTTACCCACTTTATTGAGGAGGACAGTTTGGGGGGTGGACGAGAAGGCAATGGGAAAGCCACACATTCCGTTTTCAGTGCACATCTAACATGGGGTTGGGAGTGGTGATCCCTTTGTGCCAGTTTTAGTAAGGCCTCTAGAAGTTTCTTTTTCTTTATTCATTCACGGGATGAGGATGTCACTGGTTAGGCAGCATTTATTGCCCATCCCTAATTGCCCAGAGGGCAGTTCAGAGTCAACCACATTGCTGTGGGTCTGGAGTCACATGTAGGCCAGGCCAGGTAAGGATGGCAGTTTCCTTCCCTAAAGGACATTAGTGAACAAGATGGATTCTTCCAACAATCGACAATGGACTCACAATCATCATTAGATTCTTAATTCCAGATATTTTATTGGATTCAAATTCCACCATCTGCCGTGGTGGGATTCGAACCCCAGTCTCCGGAATGCTATCTGGGTCGCTGGATTAACAGCCCAGTGATAATACCACTAGGCCATCGCCTCCCGAAAGCAGAGAGAGGTCCCTGAAGGGAGCTCAGAGTAAGAGGTGAAGAGCATATCAAACAGGAACTGCTGTAGTCTGGCCTTCCAATTGGGGAATAATGAGGCATAAGCTTAAAATTCAGGAAAGAAAGCAGGGAACAAGCAAGGTGTGGAATAACACGGTGGCCATCATTATGTTTCTCTAGTTCTGGAACAAAGTGCAAATTGCTGTTGGTGAGTTGATTTATCCTGCAACATCCTTTTTCCTTTAGGAATTCAGTACACACAGCTGTGGCGAAAGCCTCACTGAATCTGTCTGCTCCATGTGGGACTTGTTGTTCCTTTAAGCTCTCTTCCTTTTCAGACTCTTAATACCTACAGGATTCACAGTATATACAGTAGGCCTCACTGTACCCATATAGGAATCACTGTTTTGATATAGGCCTCACTGTGCCTAAAGGCCATGTCTGTCCGTAGAATCACAGAATCCCTACCGTGTGGAAGCAGGCCATTTAGCCCATCAAGTCCACACCATCCCTCTGAAGAGCATCCCACAAGACCCATCCCCCTACCACACAACCCTGTATTTCCAATGGACAATTCCACCTAACTGGCATGTCTTTGGACTGTGGGAGGAAACTGGACCACCCAGAGGAAGCCCACGCAGAGACAGGGAGAACATGCCAGCTCCACACAGACAGTCACTCAAAGGTGGAATCAAACCCAGGTCCGTGGCGCTGTGAGACAACAGTGCTAACTACTGAGCCACCATACCTCCTGTATAGGCTTCACTGTTCCTATAGGCTATGTTCCTATATAGACCTTACTGTTCCAATAGGCTATGTTTCTCTGGTCTTCTCAACTCATATAGGCTTCGATGTTGCAAGAGAGCTGCTGGTTCCAATAAAAGGCCTTAATGCTGCTATCAGGGACTGTCCTGTTTGGCTTCTCTGTATTACTTCCAGGTGCTGTGCAGCTGTGGGCTGTTAGCATGTGAGCTCACAGTGTGGGGACATTCTTCACCACATGTTGATATTTTCTCCTACAGGGATGCACCAGTTACAATTAGTCCCATAATTAGAGGTCTGTCTGGGCGACATACATTTGCAATGGCTCTTTGGAAGTTCTATGAAATTTAAAAATAAATTGCTTCCACTTGTGCAAACCTTAACCGTTTCTCTTTTATGTTTTGTTTCTGCCACAGTCATTTCAGACAGGCCTCCGCCCGTCATTCGCCAAGGCCCTATCAATCAGACGGTTGCTGTGGACAGCACTGTAGCCCTTGGGTGCCTGGCCAGTGGAACACCCCCACCCACCATCCTCTGGAGAAAAGATGGGATCTTAGTCTCCACCCATGACTCACGCATCAAGCAGCAAGAGACGGGAGCCCTGCAGATCCGTTATGCCAAGGTAAGGGGGTGTGAACTCTCATCACTCACAATCTCACCACATGCAATGCCCTACTGCTGAATATTTTTCTCAGGAAGAAACTCTCACTCTATGCAGTGGGCACAATTTATCATCTACACGTCCTGGACGATATACGGTGGCAGTGTTGATTAAGTTCACAGGTCCTTGAAAATGCAGTCACAGGTAGATAGAATAGTGAAGAAGGCGTTTGGTATGCTTGCCTTTACTGGCCAGTGCATTGAGTACAGGAGTTGGGAGATCATGTTGCGGCTGTACAGGACATTGGTTAGGCCACTTTTAGAATAGTGCATTCAATTCTGGTCTCCCTGCTATAGGAAGGATGTTGTGAAACTTGAAAAGGTTCAGAAAAAAATTACAAGGATGTTGCCAGGGTTGGAGGGTTTGAGCAACAGGGAGAGGCTGAATGGACAGGGGCTATTTTCCCTGGAGCGTCAGAGGCTGAGGGTGATCTTATAGAAGTTTTGATGTGGAGTTGCCGATGTTGAACTGGGGTAGACAAAATCAGAAGTCACACAACTCTAGGATACAGTCCACTCTGAGAGCTTGGGATTTCAAATAACCCTGTTGGACTATAACCTGGTGTCATGTGACTTCTGACTTATAGAAGTTAATAAAATCATGAGGGGCATGGATACGGTGAATAGCCAAGGTCTTTTTCCCAGGGTATCAGAGTCCAGAACTAGAGGGAATAGGTTTAAAGTGAGCGGGGAAAGATTTAAAAGGGACCTGAGGGGTAACCTTTTCACGCAGAGGGTGGTGCATGTATGAAATGAGCTGCCAGAGAAAGTGGTGGGAGCTGGTACAATTACAGCATTTAAAAGGTGTCTGTACGGGTATGTGAATAGGAAGGCTTTAAAGGGATATGGGCTAGATGCTAGCAAATGGGACTAGATTAATCTAAGGTATCTGGTTGGCATGAACAAGTCAGACCTAAGGGTCTGTTTCTGTGCTGTACATCTTTGATTCTATAACTCTACCTGTCGTCCATCATTTTAAAGACTGCCAGAGGGTAGAGAGTTTAAATTAATGTTGCACTTTGGGAAGTATTATCTTTCACTCAAGTTATTAATTCGAGACCCCAGTCTGCCATCTCAGGAATGCACGAGGGAGAGACTGGTGCAGTTGGACCAAAGGCCTGACAGCATATTAATGATGTGGATGAGACAAGTGAAGGCACTGTTGTCAGTCTTACAGATAACACAAAAAAGGTGGGAAAGCAAGTGTAGATGATAACACGAAGAGTCTGCAGTGGGATATAGACAGATAAAGCAAGCAGACAAAATCTTTATTGAAACTAAATTTCACCATCTACCATGGGATTTGAACCTATGTCACCAAAATATTAACCTGCGGTTCTTGATTACCAGCCCAGTGACGTTACCAATACACCAACACCTCCCTTTCCTAGTGACAGCCCTTCCTAAGCATTGAACTGGCTGCATTTCATTGGAGATCACAATGTTAGTCAGCACCAGAAAAGACACTGCCGTTATCTCCTCCCCCCGGTTCTTCTGCCAAATTTCAGGTATCTATCCGTTCTGAGGAAGGGTCACCGGACCCGAAACGTTAACTCTGTTTTTTCCTTCACAGATGCTGCCAGACCTGCTGAGCTTTTCCAGCAACTTCTGTTTTTGTTCAGGTATCTATCTGCTGTGGTTCCTAACCCTGATGCTGATGGAAATGAGATCAGCTCACCAGCACAGTATAAATACTTCAAAAGAGATTTCCCTGCTTCATGACACAGGGCTCACAAACTGCGAGGAGGTTTCAGCTGCTGGCATTAACTCTGCAAAGTGGTTTATTTGAGTGTCCTTCTCTCCCTTAGCTGGGTGACTCTGGTGTCTATACGTGTATAGCCTCAACACCAAGTGGTGAAGCAACATGGAGTGCACGCATTGATGTTCAAGGTAGGAATCTCTTATTGTTTTAGAAGCACATCTTTTGCTCAAGATAAAGGTCAAAGAGTATTAGGCAAACACCATCCCATCAAACACTGCCAGGACAGGGACAGCATGGGGTTAGAGTAAAGCTTACTCTACATTCTCCGCATTAAACACTGCCAGGACAGGGACAGCTTGGGGTTAGCTACAGAGTAAAGATCCCTCTACTCTTTTAAACCAGAAGTAAACAGAAAGTAAAGTTCCCTCAACTCTTTTAAACTGAAAGGAAAGCTTCTCCGACACTGTCTCTATCAAATACTCCCAGATCAGGGACAGCACGGGGTTAGATGCAGAGTAAAGGTCTCTCTACACTATTGCAACATTGGAAAAGACATCCCTACTGATTTAGTGTGGAATTATCACAATTCCTATAATTGGATACTGTGTGATTTTAGTGAAGCTTCTAATCACTAATCACTGCTGATTGGCAAATGAACACAGTAGAAACCTGAAGATCATTCTCATATATCCCTTACATATAGAGCTGATTGACCATAGAAGTGAAAGATCTACCTATCAGATTACTTCAAAAGCACAGGAAAAGTCTCCTTGTCTCCTGCAGTCTGTGCCAGAATTTTGAGTTTGAGTTTGATTTATTGTTGTCACAAATTTGTGCTGCATATGATTCTCCCCTAGCCACCAGTTCATCGAATCCCATCAACTGATCATTTTATTGTTTCTTCCTCACATACTTTCCTCACATCCCCTTAAATTTATTGCTTTCATTTGCCTTGACCACTCCCTGAGGGAGTGAGTTCCATATTCTTACCACTCTCTAGCTTCCCAGTCAGAATTATCAGTCACTACTTTATATTGATGACCTTGGGTTTTTCTCTTGCGAAGAAATTGGATCATCTTCTCTTCATCTCTCCTCAGAAATGCTATCAGATCACCTCCCTTTGTGCTTTAAACTGACATTGAACATAGAACCGTATAGCACAGGAACAGGCCCTTTCCTAAACTAGATCCATGGGAATCCCAGTATAATCCAGGCTAATGCTTCCAGTGCAGTACTGAGGGAATGCAGCAGTGTCCCTCAACTAAAATCACTTCATATGATCATAATATCACTGTTTGTGGTACCTTGCTGTGTGAAAATTGGTTGCCAAGTTTCCTGAATCTGACAAGACTCTCAATTCTGAAGAAGGGTCACTGGACTCGAAATGTTAACTCAGTTTCTCGCTCCATAAATGCTGCCAGACCTGCTGAATTTCTCCAGCAATTTCTGTTTGTTTCTGATATTCCAGCCTCCACAGTTCTTTTGGTATTTTTCTTCCTGTCATGACTCTTGTTCAGAAACTGGATGATTTTTTGCATAAGTCTTAAAGGTGGCCAGACAGATTGAGAGAGCCGGTGGGTCGGTGTGAACTTGTTGGGCCGAAGGGCCTGTTTCCACACTGCAGGTTTTCTGAAAAATAAACTCCCCTGATCTTTGTGGTGTCTGCAACCTTACTCGCCCATCCATCTACATTTTCATCTGAGTCATTTGTATAAATCACAAACAGCAGAGATCCCAGTCCGAATCCCTGCGGAACACTACTAGTCACGGACCTCCAGCCTGAAAAACAACCTTCCACCACTACCCTCTGCCTTCTTTGGGCAAGCCAAGTCTGAATCCACGTGGCCAAGTCACTGTGGATCCCATGTAACTTAATCTTCTGAATGAGCCTACCATGAGGGACCTTGTCAAAAGCCTTACTAAAATCCATGTAATCAACATCCACCCACATCTACCCTCATCGATCACCCTCTTCACCTCCTCAAAATAATCAATCAAGTTACTAAGACGTGACCTGACCCACACAAAGCCAGGCTGACTGTCCCTAATTAGGCCATGCTTTTCCAAATGCGGGTAAAGTCCTATCCCTAAGGAACAATATCAGCATAATAAAGTTTACAATGTCAGGTTCTTCATATGAGGGGACATGGAGTAGAAAGACAAGAATTAATAGCCTTTCTAAGATTCTGGTTTCGCCCTGAGTGGGGTATTGTGTTTAGCTCTGAGTGCCGCACTTTAAGAAGGACATGAAGGTGTAAGGAAGAGGGCAGAAAAGATTCTCAAGAATGGTTCCAGTTAAATGGACAGATTAAAGAAGATCTTTTCACACTAAAGTAGAGGATGCGATCACATTTCTTGTGGAACCCAGTGTCTGATTTTGCATGTCCATGCACCTGTCACCTCATTGGGATTTATTTATTTACTGTGTGTGCTTTATATCTCAATGGAATTTGCTGTCATTCTTGACTAATTTGGTAACCTTTGTTTCCTCCTTTGGCTCCCTGTGGGTGTTGGGACCCCAGAGTTCGGGACTCCAGTTTTACCTCCTCGGTTACCAGATCCCAACCTCATTCCTGGAACGCCATCCAAGCCAGAAGTAAGGAATGTCAGCAAAAATGGGGTGACGCTGATTTGGAAACCAAACATGAATTCTGGAGCTACCCCAACCTCCTACATCATTGAGGCCTTCAGGTTAGTCCCACTTCTACACTCTCTTTGTCTCTGTCTCTGTCAAAATGGGTGGATTCCTGTTGGGAATAGCTCCACCAGCAATAGCCATCTTCAAGCCACGACCCCCTCCAGTCAGATTCCTCGACCCATTCGCCTATTCTCCATCCCTGGATTTGTGTTGAGAGGTTGCATGGGGATTGGATCTCACCTAGAGTCCACTATCAAGGATTACCGACATTCCAAGATTGTCCTGGAACTGGCTGGAATTACAGATTGCTCTCCCGCATGATCTTACGAATAACACAGAAGGAGAAAGACTCAGTGGGGCACATTGTCCTCCCTGCCTTGTTGTACAAAGAGTTCAATGGATCTTTGACCAATACTCACTCCTCTGTGACCTTAAATCAAGATAAATAAGCTCCACATTAAGGTCCACCTCACTTTTCCACTCTATATGGAGATTCTAATCTCTCATGATTATCACTGTGCCTTTCTGACAAGCTTTCGTTTATTTCTTCTTTTATATCTCCACCATATCTCATGGTTACTTTTGAGGAGCTTGGACAGTCATTTCTTGCTTCTGTCATTTCTCATCTCCACTCAGACTGTTCCCACACCCACGTTTCCTGATCTTAAGACATCCCACTGTATTGTACTTTATTAAATAGAGCAACACCTTCACCTTTACTTAGTTTCCTGTCATTCCTAAAAGTCCTTTAACTGTCAAGATTCAAGTCCCAATTCATGTCAACCTTCAAGACACAGATACATGCATTGTGGAGCCCCTCTGCTTCATTAGCAGGGCCTGACTGCAGAATGAGCCAGGAAATGTTATGGACTATGTTGAAATACAGAAAATAGGAGCAGGAGTAGGCCATTCGGCCCTTTGAACCTGCTGCGCCATTCAATATGGTCGTGGCTGATCATGCAGCTCAGTCCCCTGTTATCATTTTCTCCCCAAACCCTTTGATCCCTTTATCCCTAAGCACTATATCTAACTCCTGCTTGAAAACTTCAATGTTTTGGCCTGAACTGCTTTGCGTGGTGGAGAATTCCACAGACTCACCACTCTCTGGGTGAAGACCTTTCTCCTCATTGCAGACCTAAATGGCCCAACCTGTATCCTTGGACTATGACATCCCCAGTCATTGGGTACATCCTTCCTGCATTTACATTGTCCAGTGCTATTAGAAATTTATAGGTTTCTGTGAGATTCCCCCCTCATTCTCCTAAATTCCAGCAAATATAGCCCTAACTGATCTGGTCTGTCTTTATACATCAGTCCTGCCATCCCAGGAATCAGTTTGGTAAACCTTTGTTACACTCCCTCCATCACCAGAACATCCTTCCTCAGATAAGGAGACCAAAACTGCGCACAGTACTCCAGGTGTGCTCTCACCAAGGCCCTGTATAATTGCAGCAAGACCTCCCTGCCCCTGTACTCGAATCCTGTCACGATAAAGGCCAACATCCCATTTGCCTTCTTCACCGCCTGCTGCCCTTCCAGGTTTACTTTCAGTGACTGGTGTACAAGGAGAGGTCTCATTGTTCCTCCCCCTTTCCCAATGTATCTCCATTCAGATAATAATGTGCCTTTGGCTTTTTGCTACCATGAAGGATACCCTCACATTTATCTACACTATACTGCATCTGCCATGCAATTGCCCACTCACTCAGCCTGTCCAAATCACACTGAAGCATCTCTGCATCCTCCTCACAGTTCACCCTCCCACCAACTTTCTGATTTCTGAAAACTTGGAGATATTGCATTTAGTTCCCTCATCCATATCATTAATGCGTATTTTGAATAGCTTGGGTTCAAGCACTGATCCCCACAGAACTGTAGTAGTCACTGCTTGCTACTCAGAAAATAACCCATTTATTCCTACTGTTTCTTTTCCTGTCTGCCAAGCAGTTCTCTATCCATGTCAGTTCAGTACCTCCAGTCATATGTGCTTGAATTTTACATGCTAATCTCTCATGGGACCTTATCAAAAGCATAAAGTATAGTTGTGTTTATTTGAAGAGGAGTTAGAAGGGCAGTGTGATTTTCAGTGGAGTAGGGGGTTTCTAGTGTTTTGCTGTTGATTTTATTTCTGTGTGATGTTCCACCTATCAATTCTTGTGATGTTATTTCCAGTCATGCAGCTGGTAGCAGCTGGCAAACAGTCGCTGACCGGGTGAAAACCGATACATACGCCATCAAAAACCTGAGATCTAACGCTGTCTACCTCTTCCTCATCCGAGCAGTCAATGCTTACGGTCTCAGTGACCCGAGTCCAATATCAGACCCGGTAAAAACCCAAGGTAAGACTCATGCAATTGTAAAACAACATGTCAAAAGGCCCGATAAAGAGATAGTTGTACTAATCCAAAAATGTTGATGGGAACAGTGTAAAAGGAGTTTCATTCTATATCTAACCCTATGCTATCCCTGGCCTGGAGCGTTTGATGGGGTCAATGTAGAAGGAGCTTTACTCTGTATCTAACCCCATGCTCTCCCTGTCCTGGGAATGTTTGATGGGGACAGTGCAGAGGGAGCTTTACTCTGTATCTAACCCCATGCTCTCCCTGTCCTGGGAATGTTTGATGGGGACAGTGCAGAGGTAGATTTACTCTGTATCTAACCCCATGCTCTCCCTGTCCTTGGAGTGTTTGATGGGGACAGTGTAGAGGGAGATTTACTCTGCATTTAACCCCATGCTCTCCCTGTTCTGGGAGTGTTTGATGGGGACGGTGTAGAGGGAAATTTACCCTGTATCTAACCCCATGTGGTCCCTGTTCTGTGAGTGTCGTCATTGTCTTCAGGAATAGTGCCAGAAGACTGGAGACTAGCAAATGTTGTCCCCTTGTTCAAGAAGGGGAGTAGAGACAACCCTGGTAATTATAGACCAGTGAGCCTTACTTCGGTTGTGGGTAAAGTGTTGGAAAGGATTATAAGAGATAGGATTTATAATCATCTAGAAAGGAATAATTTGATTAGGGATAGTCAACACGGTTTTGTGAAGGGTAGGTCGTGCCTCACAAACCTTATTGAGTTCTTCGAGAAGGTGACCAAACAGGTGGATGAGGGTAAAGCGGTTGATGTGGTGTATTTGGATTTCAGTAAAGCGTTTGATAAGGTTCCCCATGGTAGGCTATTGCAGAAAATACGGAGGCATGGGATTGAGGGTGATTTAGCGGTTTGGATCAGAAATTGGCTAGCTGTAAGAAGACAGAGGGTGGTGGTTGATGGGAAATGTTCATCCTGGAGTTCAGTTGCTAGTGGTGTACCTCAAGGATCTGTTCTGGGGCCACTACTGTTTGTCATTTTTGTAAATGACCTGGATGAGGGCGTAGAAGGATGGGTTAGTAAACTTGCGGATGACACCAAAGTCGGTGGAGTTGTGGATAGTGCGGAAGGACGTTGCAGGTTACAGAGGGACATAAATAAGCTGCAGAGCTGGGCTGAGAGGTGGCAAATGGAGTTTAATGTGGAAAAGTGTGAGGTGATTCACTTTGGAAGGAGTAACAGGAATACAGAGTACTGGGCTAATGGTAAGATTCTTGGTAGTGTGGATGAGCAGAAAGATCTCCTGTGTCCATGTGCATAGATCACTGAAAGTTGCCACCCAGGTTGATAGCGTTGTTAAGAAGGCGTACAGTATGTTAGGTTTTATTGGTAGAGGGATTGAGTTTCGGAGCCGTGAGGTCATGTTGCAGCTGTACAAAACTCTGGTGCGGCCGCACTTGGAGTATTGTGTACAATTCTGGTCACCGCATTATAGGAAGGATGTGGAAGCATTGGAAAGGGTGCAGAGGAGATTTACCAGGATGTTGCCTGGTATGGAGGGAAGGTCTTATGAGGAAAGGCTGAGGGACTTGAGGCTGTTTTCGTTAGAGAGAAGAAGGTTAAGAGGTGACTTGATAGAGACATACAAGATGATCAGAGGATTAGATAGGGTGGACAGTGGGAGCCTTTTTCCTCGGATGGTGATGGCTAGCACGAGGGGACATAGCTTTAAATTGAGGGGTGATAGATATAGGACAGATGTCAGAGGTAGGTTCTTTACTCAGAGAGTAGTAAGGGCGTGGAATGCCCTGCCTGCAAAAATAGTAGACTCGCCCACTTTAGGGGCATTTAAATGGTCATTGGATAAACATATGGATGATAATGGAATAGTTTAGGTTAGATGGGCTTCAGATTGGTTTCACAGGTTGGCGCAACATCGAGGGCCGAAGGGCCTGTACTGCGCTGTAATGTTCTATGTTCTATGTTCTATGTTCTATCTGGCACTGTGTACCATAATATTTTGGAATATTGCTCCTGCAGGTTAATATTTGTGATGAGTTTTATTAGCTGTTAACTGGAAACTAATCATTTAATTCTTGCAGATGTCCCACCCACTGGTCAAGGTGTTGACCACAGACAGGTGCAGCGAGAGCTTGGTGAAGTCATTGTCCATCTCCACAATCCCATCATCCTCTCTTCGTCTTCAATCCAGATCCAGTGGACTGTGAGTACCGACCGAAACAATCTACATGGCTGACTTCCTCTGACACGGACCAAAAATTTAACTGATATTGACTTGTGTGTGACTGGAGAAACAGAGTGAGCCCCATTCTCTTACTTTGGCCTGGTTAGCAGATCCCTACCTGTTTGATACCTGGGGTCGTAGAATCATAGAATCCATACAGTGTGGAAGCAGGCCATTTGGCCCATTGAGTCCGAACAGCATCCAACCCAGAGCCACCCCCTACCCTGTCCCTGTAACCCTATGTTTCCCATGGCTAAACTACCCTATCCTGCACATCTTTGAACTGTGGGAGGAAACCAGAGCACCCAGAGGGGATGCACGCAGACATGGGAAAAACGTGCAAATTCCACATAGACAGTCACCCGAGGGTGGTATCAAACCCAGGTCCCTGGCGCTGTGAGGCAGCAGTGCTAACCACTGTCCTCAGGGTCTGTGTTTGGTGCAAGGGAAGGAAGTAAAAAATTCATCCAGGGGTTCAGAGAGGTTTTGTTACGCACCTACCATTTACACCCACTCTGCACATGACCCTGACATTGTGTGACTGATCTAACAGTTGGGCTAACAATGGTGGCCATAACACCCATAATTCCCATCAGTACAGAAACCTCTCTACCAACTGAGTGGGACTGCTGAATGTGGGGTCTCTCCTCATCTGACAAGACACTGGCCCTGATTTTGATGGATTAATGTGGTGAGCAGGCACTGATTCTGACATTCTCACTCTCATTTCCTGTCACTTCCTTTCTTCCTGGGTATTGGATAAGGTTTGTGAGCATGAGCCCACACACAAGATTCACAGAGTGATTGGCTCCATTATTGGATGGTTGGCATCTCCTCACAACCTCCTCCCCCAGCTCCTGGTTGACTCGTGGTTCATATTTCTCAGAGAATTGGGGAACCACTGTCTCAATTCTAACAGCCTTGAAAGGTAAGTTCCATAGGTCTTACCCCTGCCAACTCATATTCCTCCGCCCAATCCCATGGTCCTTTATAAACCTCATGCTAACTTATGGTCTTTCCATGTCCTATTCACCCAGTATTTTATGGAAAAAAGACACAAGTTAAAAGTACTGAAGATCTCACCCCTCCGGTGATATCCCATTCCACAATCTAATAATCCACCCACCTAGCCCAATGTCTGCCTCCATTATCTGACTCCCCCAGTCTGATAACCTGCTCACTGAGCCTGATAACCCACTCCCCCAGCCCAATATCTCACTTCGATATCCCACTCCTACTTTTTCCAGTATTTCACTCCTCTGCCTGATATTCCACTCCCCAGTTTGACATCCCACTCTCCTAGTCCAATATCCCAATCCCCCAGTCTGATGTCTCGTTCATCAGTTGGATATCCCGCTCGCCTTGCCCAGAAACACACTGTGCATCTTGGGGTAGATGGAGGTTCTCCACATTTGCTCCTCCTTGAGTATTCTCGATATGTCTTACCTCTGTCCCCAGGTGGATCAGCAATCCCAGTATATCCAGGGATACAGGATACTGTACAGGCCCTCAGTGATGGACAAGTGGTCCGAGTCTGATTGGTCAGTCTTTGAGGTGAGGTCAGCAACTGACCGTAGCGCCGTGCTCCCCAAGCTGAGGAAAGGTATGGGCTATGACATCAAAGTGAGGCCATTCTTCAATGAATTCCAGGGTGCAGACAGTGATGTGAAATACGCCAAGACCATGGAGGAAGGTAAAATATAACAAACAGTAAAGTTTTATACTTTATGACCGTGCCTAGTTATTTCATCCAACGATTTTGTTCCATTTGGTCGAATCCCATTTCAGCTCCACATCTCCTTAGCTCAGGGAAGACATATCCCCCGGGGACCGGAAATGTACAATCCAGATCCCGCACTGAATAAATAAATAGAGAGCAAAACCCCCTCATCCAACATTTAACCTCGGAGATGGCTGATTCCTGGAATTATACTGGGCAATAAGGCGTTAAACTAGGTGGGAATGCTGCACAACAAGGACTTGTATTCTGTTCAGTAGAAGAGGCTTAGGGTTTAAGATGGTTTCAGGTTCTGATCGTAGAATCCCTACAATGTGGAAAGGGGCTGTTTGGCCTGTCAAATGCACTGATCCTCCAACGAGAACCCCATCCAGATCCAGCCTCCAATAATCCATCTAACCTACACATCTTTGGACAGTCGGAAGAAACCCGCACAGAAGCTGGGAAGAATGTGCAAACTCCGCACAGACAGTCACCCAAGGCTGGAACTGAACCTGGGTCCCCGCTGTGTGAGGCAGCAGTGCTAACCTGCGAGCCACCATGCCACTCAATGGATCATGTAAAGAGAGAAACAAATTCATCTGTTGAGGGAGACTAGAATCATAACCTTAAAAATGGTGTTCCAAAGTTTTAGATGATGTCAGGAAGTATTTCTGCACAGAGAGGGGAGTGTAAATCTCAAACACTGTCTCCCTACCTTCCATATTGGAGGAGGGTGTGGGAGAGGCAGGATCACTTGAAAATTTTAAGACTGATTGATTTTTATGTTAGTTGAGGTTTACAGAAACAAGGTGGTTCAGTGAATTGTCATCGGGATCTATCAGGTTCACTAATGTCCTTTAGGGAAGGAAACTGCCATCCTTACCCGGTCTGGCCTACATGTGACTCCAGACCCACAGCAATGTAGGTGACTCTGAGCTGCCCTCTGAAATGGCTAGTCCTCAGTTCTAGGGCAATTAGGGATGGGCCTTGAATGCTGGCCTTGCCAGTGACACACACACCCCATGACTGCATTTTTCTTTAGACATGGAGTTGAGGTACAGATCAGCTGTGGTCCAATTAAAAGTTGGAACAGGCCTTGAGGAGCTGAATGGCCTCCTGGGTGTGTTGCCCTGATACTACCTTTATGGGATTCCATTCTCACCCAGATGCAGTCACACACACCTTCTCCAGCAGGAATAGTGCATTTCACATTTAACAAGTATTTTAAAATGAGGAAGCATAGAGAAGAGGAACAGGAGGAGGCCATTCAGCCCATTGAGCCTGCTCTGCCATTCAATATGATCAGGGCTGATCATCCAACTCAGTTCCCTGTTCCTGCTTTCTCCCCCGTAGCCTTTGATCCCTTTATCCCTAAGAACTATATCTAACTCCTTCTTGAGAACATTCAATATTTTGACCTGAACCGCTTTCTGTGACAGAGAATTCCACAGGCTCCCCACTTTCTGGGTGAAGACATTTCTCCTCATCTCAAGACCAATTACATTTGTAAACAGGATCACCACTTGCACAATTTATGTTAGATAATCGAGTCAGGAATCTGTCTTTCAGTCTCTGTGCTGCTATCGGACACTAACACCTGGTTTTCTTTCCACCATTGAATGGAGCAGTTCCCAGTGCACCCCCTCAGAGCGTCACAGTGACACTAAACGATGGGAATGGGACTGGCATTGTGATCGCTTGGCAACCACCCCCAGAAGACTCTTTCAATGGTGAACTCCAGGAGTACAAGGTAAGGCCCCACCTAACCTAATATCACAACAGCCCTCTGGCTTCCTGTACATCCCCGATTTTTAATCTCTCCACCATGGGAGGCTGTGCCTTCACCCCTGCCTGTGCCCACACTCTGTTTTCCTCTCTCAATCCGCCCTGAGACTCTCTCCCCCTTCAAGGTGCTTATTAAAATTGAACCACTCGGACGTTTTCACTAGATCGGCCATTGGTGGTCCCAAAAGCTCAAGCTGCCCACTTCCACACTTCATCGTTCAACACCGACGGATAGAATTTATTTATCGCAGGTGTACAGTGTACATACTAAACACAAGACCAGAAGATGTAGGAGGAGAAATAGGCCATTCAGCCCATCAAGTCTTCTCCACCATTCAGTGAGATCATGGCTGATGAGATCATCCTCAACTCCACCTTCCTGCCTTTTCCCCTAGTGGTGTTATCATGATACGATAAATCTAGAGACCCAGGTAATGTTCTGGAGTCCTGGGTTCAAATTCTTCCATGACAGAATTCCATTGTTAGTGGAATTTGAATTCAATTAAGGAAAAAAAAATGGAATTTGTCTCATGATGACGAGGGGAAACCATTGCTGATTGGCAGGAAAAATCCATCTGGTCCCCAATGTCCTGTAGGGAAAGAAACTGCCATTCTTACTCAGGCTGGCCTATATGTGACTCCAGACCCACAGCAATGCCCTCTGGGCAATTAGGGATGGTCAATAAATGCTGGCCTGGTCAGTGAAACCTGCAGCTTTTGAATAAACAAAAAAGTCCCTGATTCCCTTACCGATTAAAACTCTCAGCCTTGAGTACACTTAATTATCAACAGTCCTCTGTGGTAAAGAATTCCAGAGATTCACTCCCCTCTGAGAGAAGAAATTCCTCCTCAGCTCTACATTAAATGTGCAACCCCTTATTCTGAAATGATACCCTCTGGTCCTAGACTCTCCTACCATGGGAAACAACTTTCCACATCTACCCTGTCAGGTTTGTTTCAATAAGGTTGCCTCTCATTCTTTAAAACACGAGCTTAGTGCAGAAATGACACGAGGAGATGATTACAGTGCTCAGCAACACTTGTGTCTAGATGCAGCCTGTTTTCCTGCAGCTTGGTTCAAGCAGATCTTCAGGAGCCCTGCCTTCCCACCCTCTGGCTCTACAAACACATTGTGAAAGCTGGCTTTGTTCTCAGTGGAAACCTAGCCCCACCTGCTGGACAAGGCCGCGGTTGCAAGTCTTTTCTGATGGACCTCCTTGTTCTTGTTCTGCAGCAGTGATCTATTCACTGAGCTTTCTTTCACAAGTCAAACAAAAAAGTCAAGCTGCTGCTGTTTGATTTAGGCCCTCGCTGTGAGCTCTTAATGATACTCAATGAAAAGTTTTCAAGCAACAAGACTGTGAGCCTGAGTAATTAAGGGTCTGGCTTCGGCTGGGATGGAGTTTAAGGACAATCGAAAAGGCCAACGTTCCGAGTGAAGAAAATATACCATGCAGATATTCAGAATTGAGGCACATTGGACCATGAGGACTTGTGTCCAGTAGCAGACGGGACAGGCGTAAGAGGCAAGATCCAAATAGATCACTGATGTGCAGAGGGATCTGGGTGTCAGGTTCGTGGATCATTGAAGGTGGCAGCACAGGTAGATAAGGTAGTAAAAAAGGTCTATGGCATGCTTGCCCTCATTGGAAAGGGCATTGAGTCTAAAGATAGACAAGTATGCTGCAGCTTTATAGAACTTTAGTTAGGCCACATTTGGAATATTGTGTACAGTTCTGGTTACCACACTACCAGAAGGATGTGGATGCTTTGGAGACGGTGCAGAAAAGGTTTACCAGGATGTTGCCTGGAATGGGGGATTTTAGCTATGAAGCGAGGTTGGATAGACTGGATTTATTTTCACTGGAATGCAGGAGGTTGAGAAGTGACCTGATAGAAGTTTATAAGATTGTGAATGGCATGGACAGAGTGGAAAGTAGGAGGCTTTTTCCCAGGGTGGAGAGGTCAATTACTCATGGACACACTCATGTGTGAGGTTGGGGGGGTGGGGGGTGGAATGTTTAAAAGCGATATGCGAGGCAGGTTTTTCACACAAAGGGTGGTGAGTGCCTGTAACACACTGCCAGAGGAGGTGGTGGAAGCAGACACAATTGCAGCATTCAAGAAGCACATGGACAGATACATGAACAGGAAGGGAATAGAGGGATAAGGATCCTGTAAGTGAAGACAGTTTTAGTATGGAAAGGCAAAATGTGTCCACGCAGGCTTGAAGGGACGAAAGGCCTGTTCCTGTGATATATTGTTCTTTGTTCTTATAACGTCTGTTGGTTTTCCTTTGTCTAATTTCCTCGTTACCTCCTCAAAGAATTCTAACAGTTTGTCAGGCATAACTTCCCCTTGACAAAGCCGTGCTGATAACCCTATTTTACCATGCACTTCCAGTACTCCGCAGTCTCAACCTTAATAATGGACTATAAAATCTTACCAACAACTGGCGTCAGGTTAACAAGTCTATAGTTCCGTGTCTTCTTCCTCCCTCTCTTCTTAAACAGGGATGTTACATTAGCCATTTTCCAGTCCCCTGGAACCCTCCCTGACTCCATTGATTCCCAAAAGATCACCACTAACACCTCCACAATCTCTTCAGCTATCTCCTTCTGAACTCTGGGGTGTAGCCCATCTGGTCCAGGTGATCTATCCACCTTCAAACCTTTCAGCTTCCCCAGCACCTTCTCCTTAGTATGGCCACTACACTCGCCTCTGTCCCCTGACTCTCTTGAAGTTCTAGTCTGCTACTTCCACTGTGAAAACTGGTGCAAATTACTTATTCAGTTCCTCTGCCATTTCTTTGCTCCCCATTGCTATTTCTGCAGCCTCATTTTCTAGCAGTCCAAGGTCCAAGAGGCAAGGGTAGGAGGCAATGGGCAGCAGAAGTGTTGTTATTTACAGTTTCTTAGCAGTCATAGCTGGCCATAAGTCCTGAGTAAATAAAAACCAAAAGAAGTAGCTAGAGTACCTGAGAAGTTAGTGGGAGGTTACTGCAACTTTGATGAAGAGAGAGGAGCAGCCAAAGGGTATGTCTCCGTACTTCTAATAGGTCGGTGTTGGCTGTGATGATCTTTGGACTCTTAGAAACCCCAGGTGCCATTTGGTAACTGAGAATGGGGGTGAAGGAAGCCCACAAGCAGTACTTGCTTGGTGCAGTTGAGAGCTTGGAATTCAGAGAAAACTAAGGACCGAGCCAGCTTTGTGGAGGTAGATGTCTATGAAAGTGCTGAAATTGTGCCACAGGTTGGTGCTGGAATTCCACCTGAAAAGTCCAGAGGGAAAAAAGGGGATTAACCATCAGGGTGTGAGTGTTCATTGACACAGTCTGTGGAGGAGTGGCTTTGAGGAAACATCAAGGTTCTGAAAGTGACGAATTGGAATCTCTCATTAAGTAGACACAGTTTTGTGAGATTTGATGACTCACCGTGCTACTGATGACTGAGGGAGTTGCTGAAAAATCCATAGGATCTGACCACAGCTGCTATAGTGACCAGTCATATCTGCTAAAGGCCATCAGCCTGAAAACAATGTGCTGATTGGTTCCTGGGCAGTAAATGAGCTTGTGGCTGTGAACGATACAGTGAGAAACCTTTGGACTGCTGAAAGGACAGGTGATTGAGTCAAAATACCTGAAGAAAGCAATTGTATTTCTGTATCCAGTTGCTGTTAGCTGTTGCCTTTAACCAGTAAGTAAAAGATGGCAGATTTTCTTCCCTAAAGAGCATTAGAGAACCAGATGGGTTTTTGCAACAATTGACAATGGATTTGTGGTCTTCAGTCCATTGATCAGACCAGGTAAATTCGGAAATGCTGTGTGTCTTCATGAAATCATTAAGTTTTGTGGTGATCTAGTAATTTTTGGGCTAAAAGATCAGAGCACTTTCCCAAGTGGGTAGTAACAGTTTACAAGCAGGAGTGTCAACATTAGGGGCCATTGCCTTGTGTACAGCTTTGTGTAGTCAAGGATTAATTTTAGTTTAAGATGAGAAGTTTTTGATCAGTTCAGACTGGGGTCAGAGGCACAATTTTTTTCCCCTGGAAAGGAGTAATAAATAGTTCAGAGAACATTTATGGTGCAGTGGTAGTGTCCCTACCTCTGAGCCTAGAGATCAGGATCAAGTCCCACCTGCTCCAGAGGTGTAAAGTAATATCTCTGAACAAGTTGATAAGAAATTATGTTGTATAATTCAGGGAACAGGTTACCTCAATGTGAAAGTTTAGTTTGTGCAAATACTAGGCCAGAAATGTTCAGATCAAAATCTGCTGGTCATTGAAAGCTAAGAAAGTCTACACTCTCAGTTTTGTAACTACTCATTCAAGAATACTTCACAGTTCACATGAAAGAACAGGGAAGAATCAGTCAAGTCAAACTTAAATATTTGAGTCACAGCAGTAGTCTCTCTGGATTTGATGCTTTATTGGGATGGGAATGGGAATAGATGAAAACCTTACTGCATTTTAAGAATTTTCAAACTGTTCCATTTTTGGAGGCTTTGTTTATTTTATTTTACCATTTTATCTTTGATGGAATAAACTTCTTTTTGTTGTAGAAGAGAACCTTCAGCCTTGTGCTTCTGTTTCAATGAAAGGTAAAGTCACCATAGTCTTTCTAAACTAGAGGGCTGCTCTCTCACGAGAGAGAGACGTCTGGTGGTGGTTTAACCTGAGGTGATGGGGGAGAATGAGAAAGAGAGTCCATCATGGTAACTTCAGCTGGTGAGGAAATTGAACCCACACTGTTGGTATCAATGTGAATTGCAAATCAGCCATCCAGCCAACTAAACTAACTGACCCCCAAGACTATTGCCACATTCGATTAAAAGAGAACGAACCATCAAATCAGGTTTCATTGTGCGATCTGACTTATTCACTGGTAACATCAGGGATTTTTGTGTGTGTGTGCGTCCGTGCATCTGTCTGTGAGTGCGTATGTGTCTGATTATCTGCGTGCATAGATGTGTGCATGAGTGTTGTTAATGATGGGTAAACTGACAGCCACAGGGCTGGAAACTGCTCTAACCCTATCTCTGTTTCCTGCTATAGGTCTGGTGCTTGGGCAACGAGAGCAGATACCACATTAATCGGACAGTGGTGAGCACAGCGCTGTCTGTTGTTATCCCATCTCTCACCCCTGGGGTGCGCTATCGTGTCGAGGTGGCAGCCAGCAACAGAGCTGGCCATGGGGTGAAGAGTGAAGCTCAGTACATCCAGCTTGGTGAGTGAGCATCCTGAGTGGGCTGTGCCCCTAATCTGACAGTGAGAAGTTCCTGTGCCTGGAACAGGGTAAATGTGACCTATCCATGTTTCCTCTCTCATCAGCCACCCCTTTCTACCTCTGACGAGCTTCTGATTCTGCCGACCACTCTGTGATGCTGTTTAATCCTTTTCCTAGTCTGTCTCAGGAACTTGACATCATCTTATCTGGGAATCAGTAATGAATAAAAATGTTCTTGAGCTGAAAGGCTGACCAAGAACGGAGGATACCCCTAAAATGTCTGGCTCTCTCAATCTCCCTGTCTGTCCTTCTCCATCTCTGTTTGTCTCTCTGTCTCTCTCTCTCTGTTTCGCTGTATGTCTGTCTCCCTCTCTTTGTTAATCTGCTCTTCGCTCTCTCTTTCTCTGTCTGTTGCCCTCTGACTGTCTGTCAGTCTCTCTCTCAGTCTGCTTGTCACTCTGTTTCTTTTTCCATGTCTGTCTGTCTCCCTCTGTCTGTCTGTTTCTCTCAGTCTCTCACACTCTCCCTCTCTGTCAGCTTTTCTGACCTCTGTGTGTCATCTCAGTCTCTATTCCCATGTCTGCCTTTATTGTTACCTCTCAGTCTCTCTCCATCCTTATTAAACATTCTCTCCATTTGATCCGCCTCACTCTCCCACCCTCTTTCTCATTCTCTCAGTCTTTGTCCCCAGTCCTCTCCACCTCCTCTGATGATGGTTCAGTTTAATGTTACTGGAATAGTGATCCACAACCCCAGGCTGAAGACAGGGTTTGAAACCGACCTAGACACCCCCACCCCCCTGACATGGCAGATGGCAAAATTCAATAAAAATCTGGAATAAAAAATTGATCCTATGATGACCATGAATCCATTGTCGGTTGTTGCAAAAACCCATCTGGTTCACTCATGTCCTTTAGGGAAGGAAGGTGCCATCCTTACCTGATCTGGCCCACATGTGACTCCAGACACACAGCAATGTCGTTGACTCTTAACTGCCCTCTGGGTAATTAGGGATGGGGCAATAAATGCTGGCCTAGCCAGTGATGCCCACATCCCATCAATAATTTTTATTAAAATTCCAAATCTGAAATGTGAGCTCAGTTTTTCTCTTCCTGAATGTTTTACATTTCTGGCATTTTCTGTCTTTGTTTTGGATTTCAAGGATCTGCGGTATTTCACTGTGACATTCTCATTACAGGAGAATTTGTAGAAACTTACTCTGTTGCATCAACCAGAGGCCAGCACCTGTCACTGCACCGTGACTGTTTATATCAGAAAATCAGATGTTCTCAATAATGCACTGACACCCAGTAAAGGCAGCTTTCTCTGAACCTGCTTTCGTACTTTCCTGCAGATTCCTTTGGAAGACTGACACCAGAGCAGTCGGACGATCAGGTCAGCTTGTCCCAGCAGATTTCCGATGTGGTGAAACAGCCAGCATTCATCGCTGGAATTGGCGCAGCATGTTGGATCATCCTGATGGTCTTCAGTATCTGGCTGTACCGGCACCGAAAGAAACGCAGTGGAATAACCAGCAGCTATGCTGGCATGAGGAAAGGTGATGTGGTTTCACCTTCACTGAGTAGTGGTAGAGGGAGCTTTACTCTGTATCTAACCCTGTGCTGTCCCAATCCTGGGAGTGTTTGGTCGGGACATGTAGAGGAAGCTTTAATCTGTATCTAACCCTGTGCTGTCCCTGTCCTGGGAGTGTTTGGTGGGGACATTGTAGAGGGAGCTTTACTCTGTATCTAACCCTGTGCTGTCCCTATCCTGGGAGTGTTTGGTGGGGACATTGTAGAGGGAGCTTTACTCTGTATCGAACCCTGTGCTGTCCCTATCCTGGGAGTGTTTGGTGGGGACATTGTAGAGGGAACTTTACTCTGTATCTTACCCTGTGCTGTCCCTATCCTGGGAGTGTTTGTTGGGGATAGTGAAGAGAGAGCTTTACTCTGTATCTAATCCTGTGCTGTGCCTGTCCTGGGAGTGTTTGATGGGGATAGTGTCGAAGGAGCTTTACTCTGTATCTTACCCTGTGCTGCCCCTGTCCTGGAAATGTTTGATGGGAATACTGTAGAGAGAACTTTACTCTGTATCTAATCCTGTGCTGTCCCTGTCCTGGGAGTGTTTGATGGGGGACAGTGTAGAGGGAGATTTAATTTCATTTCTAAAAGAAGAGACAGTTTTATTTTCAGTTTACTTTCACTTTAAGAGAGTAGAGATAGTTTGACCTGTGTGTAACTGCTGCAGTTCATGAGATATAGATACACCGTCAGTGCTGTCAGGGAGGTAATTCCAGCATTTTGACCCAGTGACAGTGACATGTTTCCAAGCCAGGATGGTACGGGGCATGGAGGGGAACTTGCAGGGGGATAGTGTTCCTATGTGTCTGATGCCCTTGTCCTTCTAGATGGAAGTGATCGTGGGTTTGGAAGGTGCTGTCTGAGGATCTTAAGCCAGTTACTGCCATGAATCTTGGAGATAGTACATACTGCTGCTACTGAGCATTGGTGCTGGAGGGAGTGGATGTTGACAGTGTCCCTCCACACATCCTCACATTTTGTCCCTCACATCCCACAATTCACCTTTCTCCCCAGACTCGCTCACCACCACCCCAACATCCCTTTCACCCCTGTGCCGACGTTATCCTCACACTCCCACTTCCCTACACTCCACCTTCACCATCCCAAGCCCCTATAACCTCCCCTGGCCCTCAGCTTGTCCCTCAGTCCCACTGCAACACGCTCCTTAGTGCAGTCCCCCTGAACTGAGGGCAACATTGTAATATAAGTTTGGTCCATTTTTTTTTGTGATTCCTGTGCCTTGAAACCTAATGCTGTCTACGTTGCTCTGTCACACTGATCCCAAATCTCAATCCCTTAGTTCCACGGTGGATGAGCTCACACTGCCTCCACACTGAACTCTCTATGTTGATGTTTTGCCTGATCCTGACAGTGTGTGGTTCCTGCACCACTTACAGGGCCAGATCATTTTACACCATCCACAAACAGCCCTCGATGTCTTCATTAGAATCAGTTCAACGAGGTCAGTGTCAGACAGAAAAACACACCCAGGCAAACCATCAGCATGGTTTTCTTCTTTTCCAACCCTGTTTGGTTTTGTCATTGGGTTTTGGTTAGTGATATCTGATCTATATCTCCCTGTGTGACATAATGTTACTCTGTGAATTTACCTCGGCTTTCTCTGCATTTCCTCAACAGCTCCTTTCCACCTTCTTCCTGATTGAAATGGACTCTTCATTTTCCTGTTTATTAATTGTTAATTATTGTAAAAGCTCCCTGACCCTTCAGGTGTTAACTTTCCCAAGATAAAATGCCCCTTGACTTTACTGAAACAAATGTCAAATTCCACAGAAAATGAAACCTGATTCCCTCCGCCACCCATTCGGTTATAATTTCCATAGTTTGTGTAACTTCCACAATCTTCTACTCTTTCACACATTGTCTGTAAGGGTGATGAGTGTGCACATATGTGTGTGTGTCTGGGTGTATTTTTGTGTGTGTGTGTGTGTCTGTGTGCGTTTTTGAATGTGTGTGTGTCTGGGTGTGCATGTGTCTCTGTAGGTGTGTCTGTGTCTCTCTGTGCGTATGTCTGTATGTGTGCGCGTGTGTGTGTGTGCGTATGGGTGTATGTTTGAGAGACTGTATGTTTGAGACACAAATGTTTGCATATGTGTTTGTATATCTGTGCATGAGCATGTTTACATGTTTATACGTGTGTGTCTGTATATAAGTGTATGTTTGTCTGTATATGTGTGTATACATCTGTGTATATATATATGTTTGTGCGTGTGTACATCTGTAAAAATATATATGCATGTGTCTCTGGATAACTAAATAAGTATGTGCGTGACTATATATACTATATAAGTGTGTGTGTATGTATATATCAGTTTATAAATATTTACCTATTTCTGAGTGTATCTGTGGGTGAAATCTTTTAAGGGCTTGAATGACACTGGTTGTGGAGGGAAATCTGTCAGGAATTTCTGAGAATCCAGTAGGGCCTATTTCAACATTGGGACCACCCCACTGAAGTTTCTAAGTCAGCTCCGGACATGAAGATGAGATTCCCAGTCGGCAGAGACAAGTTATTTATTAAAGGGAGATTATCACTGGCTAATGACCTTACCTACTGCCCAGCTCTCCTCATTAATATACAACGTTCTATCCCACCACCCGCCATTAATGGAACGCTAAGAATTCTCAACTTGGCAGACTGTGTGGGTACCTGCCGAATTCAGCTTGTAGCTCGCTCTAAAGGACCTCCATGTTAGACACTGGGCACCAACATCTCAGGGCACAGTCCATGGGCCTACATCCACAGGCATTGGCACCTGACATGTGCCAACCCCAAAGAACCCTCATGACATCTCTCTGACCCATTGACAGTCTGATTCACCTTAGGCTGTAGCACTAACTCTCAATGTAATACTGCAGCAAGGACACTGTGTGCTCAGGGATACACACCCAGCTCATGGAGGCTGTATTTCTGCCCTCTTCACTCACTCTCACAGCGCTCAATCACTCACTCACTCTGAACCTACACGGATGTGCACAGCATCCTGTATGGCCTTGCCTTTTGTGCCTTGTTCCTCAGTCAGAGATACCAGTTTCACATTATTGCTGAGAGACAGTAAGAACA